GTGCGTGCGTGCGTGCGTGCGTGCGTGCGTGCGTGCGTGCGTGCGTGCGTGCGTGCGCGTGCGTGCATGTGCGTGCATGTGCGTGCATGTGCCTGTGTGTCACCTGGAGCACAGTAGCCTCTGGACCATAGGAGACTTTTAAAGGTGTATCCATGTTGTTTTGGTCTAACCTGGCATGGAAGCAGTTGAGATTGTCTGGCAGAATGTTTTTCTGATTGGCAGCTGTTCTGTATCACCCCTTGTGTAGTTTGTTAATGACTTACCAGTAATTTCCTTCCACTTGCTTATTCTTTTAAACTCTTTTCTTTTAACTCGAAGTTCTCAGTTTCCACTGTTTGTAGTTTATCATAAATATCTGCTCATTTCAAGCTAATAAACAAGGTTTTGTTTTCTGTATGTGCTAAGTTTATTTTTTTAAACCATACCGATTGGTAACTAACCTTATAAATGTAATTTAATAAATGACCACATGTAAAAAATAAATTGTATTACTGGTAAATGAATATATGAACAAAGATATTTAAAATATAAGCTCTCTGAGTAAAATTAAGTCAGTATAAGTCAGAAATCTTTCAGTCTGACAAATACAAAAGACATTTAAAACTTTTTTTGTTCTTTGTAAAGGACTGGTAATTTTTAAAATATCACCCTTATAAATATAACGGTCAAAAAAGGCCAAATAGATTATTTCAATCATCATTTCTTGCACAGGCTAACTAGAAACACAGATTCAACAGAATCACTACCAAAACTGTCATTTATTTTTCAAATTTGATTATTTTATGGATTAATTTCATTTAAAAAATGTTGCAACACACTGAAAAACATTTAAAAAAAAAATCTCTATAATAAGGTTCTGGAAAAAGTTATTTGAAAATCCCTAAAGAAAAGCGACACACTGTAAAGAAATAACCCAAAACAGTGTTTCCCCTACTGTTATACAAGGAGGGTGCTCTGTCAACAGAAATGAGCACCCTGCCTACTTAAATGTCTTTCACCCACAACTCCCCACCTCCCAGCACTGACGTAGCAGCGTCCTTGAGCACCCTGCCAAGGCAAGTGACCTAGGGGAAACACTTTAAAATATAAAACTGTTATTAAAAACAATACATAGACTCAGGTTCTAATTAACAAGAAAGAATTAAAGGGAAACGCTGAGTTTTATTCATAACTGAACAGTAAGAATTTTTTTTTTTTGTTTGTTTGTTTTTTTGAATTTGCAGGTTGGTTCTGAATTATGAGAATGTCCTTGGCCATCGTAACTTCAAGCTAATGTAAGTCTGTACAGTAAAGTACTGTAAAGTTTACATACACGTGCATGCCTGCTAATGCGGAGGGATGGGAATCAACAGCTGTGTGTGTATTCACAGCTTCGCCATGAGCCAGCGTCACTACAAAGTGTCTGCACGGCGCTGGTTCACTATGGATGCAGTGGAACTCGAGTATGACGGCACTAAGGCCACGTTCAATGGCAGCAGGTACATTTACGCTCCTGCTGAGTACTCGTACCGCTGCGAGTCCGTCACCAGCTTCCGTTGGCCCCTGCTCGTCCCACGGTCTTCCAAGGACCCAGCCAATCAGTGGAGGGTATCTTTTGAGGACTTCCAGGTAAAACTGTCTTGTGATTTACCACATTTTTAATAAGATTCTGTCTAATTGGTCTTTGTCTCCAGTAAACCTACAAAAAGGATGGAAGCTTCCCAGTATTTGCAGGTTACAGTGTAACAAACAAAACAAAAACTCTGGCATTCCTGGAAGGAAGCCAGAGTTTTAATTGTAGATGATAAGAAGGAATTGACTTATTGCGTTTTGGTGAATGATGGTGTGTTCAAGCTCATGCAGGATATTGTGAGATGTTGGCTTTTCATGTGTTGGCTATTCCATCAATTTTAAATTCATTTTCTGTAAAATCAATAGAGTTTTTGCTATTTTTGTCCCCTCTGGCAGAGCGCTAAGTGGGAATTGCAAATACTGTCCATCCATGCATGTTGTGAGCATGGTAACTTGAAAAATAAGCGAGGTACCAACTTTCATTTTGGTGTGTGGCCGCAGCTAGATGCAAGAAAGGTTCCTTTCCAAAACTGGCTTGCCACGTCAAAATCCAAGATGGCTGCTGACAAATATGTATGTAAACCAACCATTTCCATTTAAAGAAGCTATGCTTTTTAAAAAAAATACTGCTTAAAAGTATAGTTTCCTAGGTCGTGGCAGCTTGGTGGTCAGTTGTCTTGTAATCTTGAGGTTGCGTGCTTGAGCCCAGGTTGCATCAGGAAGGGGAATGACATAATCCTTCTTTTCTGAAAAGAAAAGACAACAAGAACAATAATGCTTGTGCCTTGTTTGCAATGGTTGGCAGGTTAACAAACCCTCCTGTGTCTGGGCCATCTGAACTCCACTCTGCCAGGACCTGCAATAAATTTGCTAACTTCTTTACTGAGAAAATTCAGAAGATTATAAGGGTAATGTGTACATTATTATCAAGGCCAGTAGCAATGTTATATCCAATCTAAACAAATTTGGAAGAAATGTCACAAGTTTATCCATTCAAATACAAAAGCATAGAAGCACTTATACATCATTTAAGCTTCTCCTGCTGTCTCAGTATTTTAACGACTGCTTTCTTTCAGAAAGTTTTGCCTGTCATAGCATCTGATTTGATTCAAATATTACACCCGTCTCTCTTGACTGGTGTTTTCCCCCATGCCCTAAAACCAGCAATTATCAAACTACTATTGAAAAAGAACAATCGGAACAAGTCGCTATTGCAAAATTATAGGCCAATCTCAAACCTTCTTTTCATAAATAAGGTTATTGAAAAAGCTGTATTTTAACAGTTAAATACCTTTTTTTTTTTTTTTTTACAATGATCAACCTCTTTGATGCCTTGCAGTCAGGTTTCCATGCTCACCACAGTACTGAGACTGCCCTTGTCAATGTGTTCAACAACATCTGCATAAATACATACTGTGGAAGAGCCACAGGGCTGGTATTTATTTACCTCAGCGCTGCATTCAATACTGATGACCATGATAAATTACTGGAGCAACTGGAGAACTGGGTCAGACTTTCTGGTGCAGAACTTGACTGGTTTGAATCAGACTTAAAGGACAGGGACTTCTTTGTCAATATGTAACTTTTCATCGGAGTTGACAAATATCACATGCGGGGTTCCCCAAGGTTCCATCTTGGTGCCCCTCCTATTTAACATCTACATGCTCCCTTTAGCGCAAATTACAACAAACTGTTGAGGCAATGTGAAAACAACAAGATCATTTACCATAACTATGCAGATGACACAGCTCTTCATTACATCACCAGGTGACTATGTACCCACTGTATCATACACCTATTGTACCATATCATGTTGAGTAGGTATTGAACAAATCTGTGTGTGGATATGCCATAATTCTCTTCAGATGAATAAAAATAAAACTGAAGCAATTGTTTTTGGACCAAAGAAGGAGCAATCAAAAGTCATAAAACAGCTTCAGTTCTTATGGTAGAAACTACTGATCAGGTTTGAAATCTAGGTGTAGGGATGGACTCAGACCTGAGCTTTCAGACACATGAAGACTTACAAAGTCGGCCTTCTTCCAACTGAAGAATATTTCCAAGAATAAAGAACTAATGTCTTGGCAAGATCTTGAAAACTCATCCATGTGTTTTCTTTAGTCAAATTGATTACTGTAAAGAAGCAGGTAAAGATGATGGATGGATGGATGGATGTTTTCAAAGGTCTGCCTAAAAAGACAGACAGCTGCAGATCCAGAATGCTGCTGCCCACATCCTCACTAAAACAAAGTAGAGCACATCACCCCCAGTTCTAAAGTCCTGCTCCTTATTTCACAGTTAGTTTAAAAATAACTGAATGGCTTAGCACAAAAATACATAAAAGATTTGTTATCATCTTATCAACCTTCCAGACAACTCAGATCTTCTGGTTCAAGTTTACTCCACATCCCCAGAATCAAAACCAAACACGAAGAGGCAGCATTCAGTTTTTATGCTCCACTAATCTGGAACAAACTTCAAGAAAACTGCAAGAATGTTGAAACCCTGACTTGTCATAAATCAAGGTTAAAACCCTTGTGTTTAGAGTTGCCTTTGACTGACTAGTTAAAATATTAACATAAACATCATTAATTTCAGTCTGGAGTCCAACTTCTCTTTGCTTTCCTGTATTGTGCCACTGCAATGCACTTGTTATTTTTTACATTTTCATCATGTAATGCACTTTGAAATGTTTTGTTTCTGAAATGTGTTATACAAATAATCTTGCCTAGCCTAAAACAATTTCCAGATCTTTCTTCAATTCAATTCAATTCAATTCAACCTTTATTTGTACAGGTTAGTCTCATTGAGCCTCGAGGACTCTTATACAAGAGAGACCTGTTTTAAACAAAGAATACAGATGACAACAGTAGACGATCATAAAAAAGCATATAAAATGAAAAATAAATGAAAGAAATGATATAAAAAACAAAAGAAAAACAGCTACATTATAAAGCGATATAAAATATTAAAACAGGAACATGCCTGCGTTGGTTTTTCGTGTGACTTTGCTCGTTGTGGCGACTCCTGAAGAAGGGGGCAGCCGAAATAAACTTAGTTTACTCAAATGGTTGGGGTGGCTGAAGATTAATCTGGAGGCAGCTGTGACCGAGTGGTTAGAGCAGCTGTCCTCCAGTGGGAGTGTTTGGGGTTCGATTCCACCAGCAGTCACATGCTGAAGTGTCCCTGGGCAAGACACTGAACCCCTCACTGCCTCCAATGTGTGTCCCATCGTGTATGAATGTGATAAAGCTCTGATTAGTCTTAGCAGAGATCTAGTAGAGTGCTGTATGAATGGGTACATGAGGGCATAGATTGTAGTGTAAAACGCTTTGAGTGTTTTGATTAAATAGAAAGGCACTATATAAGTACAGTCTATTTACCATTAATCTATGCGGGCCAGGGTCACCATTGGCCCCCTGGCTCCACCATGATAGGTAAAATTGTTCCCTCCGCTCTCAACTCTGTTGTACAAATTTATAATAATTTATTCAACTCCGTCCACTGGTTCATCAGATATTTGTTGCTGTTTTTCACGTTTGTTCAAATAATAACAACAGTGATCTTTGTCTTTATTTATTAAATTGTGGTTTATGTCATTTTTTATTTTTACTACTTAATCTAATATTTAAAGAGGGATACAGAGAAGTGATGATGTCAACACGTTTGTGTTTGTTTGTGCTCTCCGTTTAGATTCAGGGCTTTAACGTGACCGGCAGGGACTTCTCGTATGCGAGTGACTGTGCAGGTTTCTTCTCCCCTGGGATCTGGATGGGTCTGATGACTAGTCTTCTCTTGGTTCTGGTCCTCGCATACGGCCTGCATATGATCATGCAGCTCTGCACCATGGACCGCTTTGACGACCCCAAGGGTCCTGCCATTTCTGTGCCCCAGACCGAGTAACACATATCCAGACTGTCTTCTCCTGAGTCTTCTGTTCTCCTCATACTGCAGTGATTCACCCCCCCCCCCCCCCCCCCCCCATATACACACACACACACACACACACATTCCACATCATTTACATGTGTTGTTTGGTATTGTGTTATTAAAATATACTTGTTTCTGCACAGTAGTATAAATGTGAATGGTGAGTGTGAGAAGGTATTTTTATTGTTTTCTTATTTTTCTCAGAACATCATTTGTCAGCTTAAAAAATGTGATCTAGGAATGCATAAAAGGCCCAAGCTGTCAGGGAGCAGTGTGTCGATGTAACATGTTAAACAGGGATATTTGTAACTTATTTATTATATAGATTATAAAATACTATTTATTGCTGATACTGCTGTAATCAGTGTGACGTTTGTATATGAGTGAACCTTTTGCATGTGAACTTAGTGAAATCATTGTGGAATTGCATCAACCGTATTGACCATTGTTCTACTGCTGTTGTGACTCCATTAAAACATCTGGAAGAACGTTTTGCTAATGGTTGTGTTTGTGTAGTAGAAAAAATGAGTAGGTTCATACGTTTGATAGTCGGCTAAACAAAAACCCATTGACAGCGTTGGATGCAATTAATTTTATTTCAGAATTCTACTTAACACTCAGTTCTTAGGAGAGCAGTTGTTACTTTAATGAATATGGTAGAAAAAAATACAATCTTGTGAAGTCTGCTTTTCAAACAATTATTGTGGCTCAACTTTGTCATTATTTAATATTATTGTTAAGTAAAAATAGATGACACAGGTTGTAAATGACAAAGATGGGGGTTTAGTATAAAGCTTGAAAATGTTGATCAGTCAGAACAGCAACAGAATAAAAAAAATCCTACACTTACACAAACCCTTTGTACCTTCCTTGTGTGACACTACAGATAGTTTAATCTCTTACTCGTCACTCATACGCTCAGGGAGCATGCTCTGGTTAAGAGCAACTGAAACCCAAAGCCCCATCCCAGACTCCATGGAGTCTGTAATTCCTGTCCATGTAGGCTCACCAATATCATGTCTTATTTCTAGAAACTTCCATATTTGGTGGTGATAATTTACATGCATGTCATATCCTTATAAAAATACATTCTACCTTGGCCTAAAAAAAGTTTACTTCATGATCATCAGAGTGAGCACCTCTGTTAAGTCATATAGCATTCCTTTTCCCTCAGTAAATCCACACAAGATGTTATTTCTATATATATCTCATGATTTCTAGTGAATCATCTATGTACAGCTCATGAAAACCCAAAATGCCTGTCCCAAAAAATTAGCATATCATGAAACGGTTCTCTAAACAAGCTATTAACCTAACCATCTGAATCAACGACGTAACTAGACACCTGCAAAAGATTCCTGAGGCTTTTAAAAACTCCCAGCCTTGTTCATTACTCAAAACCGCAATCATGGGTAAGACTACCTACAACAGTGATGGTCTGGGGTGTCATGTCAGCTGCTGGTGTTGGTCCACTGTGTATTATCAAGGGCAGTGTCAATGCAGCTAGCTATCAGGAGATTTTGGAGCACTTCATGCTTCCATCTGCTGAAAAGCTTTATGGAGATGAAGATTTCATTTTTCAGCACGACCTGGCACCTGCTCACAGTGCCAAAACCACTGGTAAATGGTTTACTGACCATGGTATTACTGTGTTCAATTGGCCTGCCAACTCTCCTGACCTGAACCCCATAGAGAACCTGTGGGATATTGTGAAGAGAAAGTTGAGAGACGCAAGACCCAACACTCTGGATGAGCTTAAGGCTGCTATCGAAGCATCCTGGGCCTCCATAACACCTCAGCAGTGCCACAGGCTGATTGCCTCCATGCCACGCCGCATTGAAGCAGTCATTCATGCAAAAGGATTCCCGACCAAGTATTGAGTGCATAACTGAACATGATTATTTGAAGGTTGGTGTTTTTTGTATTAAAAACACTTGTCTTTCATTGGTGGGATGAAATATGCTAATTTTTTGGGACAGGCATTTTGGGTTTTCATGAGCTGTATGCCATAATCATCAGTATTAAAACAATTAAAGACCTGAAATATTTCAGTTGGTGTGCAATGAATCTGAAATATATGAAAGTTTCATTTTTATCATTACATTATGGAAAATAATGACCTTTATCACAATATGCTAATTTTTTGAGAAGGACCTGTACATGCTCTATTCAACCTCTGCTCAACTGCCTGGCTGACATCAGGGACTGGATGGCTTTAAACTTCTTAAGTTTCAATGAAAAGAAGTCTGAAGTCATGTTGTTCCCTCCCAACGACATGATCACAAACCACTGCATCGACCTCTCCGCTCTAACCCTGTCAAAAAAACAGAGTCACTAATCTGGGCGTGATAATGGACCCTTCCCTGAAACTTAATCATGTAAACATGATTGTTAAATCATGTTTCTTCCAACTGAGGCGGCTGTCTAAACTGAAGCCCATATTGTCCAAAAAGAACCTGGAGACAGTAATACATGCATTCATTCCATCTAGGCTTGATTACAGCAATTCGCTGAACAGTGTCGCCCCCCCCCCCCCATCTCTCTGATCTGCTACAACCGTATGTCCCACCACGCTCCCTGACGTCAGCGGACCAGTTGCTCCTCACAGTTCCAGGAACTCATCTTAAGTGCAGAGGTGACAGGGCCTTCTCTGTAGCAGGACCAAGACTTTGGAACGAGTTACCTCTGCTTGTCAGACAGGCCCCCTCCCTCTCGGTTTTCAAGTCCCGTTTAAAAACTCACTACTATTCAATAGCTTTCAACACAAGATGATCCGTGTTTTGATCCTGTATGCTCCACACTGGTTTGTCGTCATTATCTGCATCGTTTTTTGTCTATATTCCGATTTACCTCATTTTGTATTTTGCTTTGTGTGTCACCTGTTGTTTTGTCTGTACAGCACTTTGGTTGGCCTTGTTGCTGTTTTAAGTGCTTTATAAATAAAGTGGTATGGTATGGTATGTCAAGAGGAGGGACAGTGGGTATATTGGTAGAAGGATGTTAGAAATGCAGCTGCCAGGAAAAAGACAAAAAGGAGATATATGGATGCAGTTAGAGAGGACATGGAGGTAGTTGGATCAGGACAGAGGATGCAGAGGACAGAGTGAGGTGGAGGAGGATGACTCACTGTGGCGACCCCTGAGGAGGGAAAAGCCAAAAGAAGAATCTAGATAAAAAGAGTTTATTATTTTTAGGGAGTGGGGGTGGGCGGTCAGAGGCGTGGTGGATGGCATAATTTCCCTCTAAGAAATAGCCTCCTCCTCGGTCACTTGGCTTAACAGATGCTCATCTCTTCGGGGGGTTTTGTCGACGGGGCAGAGGGAGGAGGGGGAGACACTCTGTGTTGCGCGCTTGCTTACTGCTACGTTAGTGATGGAAGTTGTTGACCGGCGGTGGTGGGGGAGGTTGCGTGAGAGAAACGGTGCACTATGTAGCTAGCTCGTCTGTGTTGCACGTGGCTACGTTAATGTTTGAACATTGTAGCTGCCACATACAACAAGACTTTGCCTTATTCCAAGTGGATTGTGAAGGAAAGGGGAATAAAAGTTATGAAGTGTTAGAAATTGTTGTGGCACCAAAGAACCTGTAAACCTATTTTGTTTTAATAATTACATGCAGGTTGACAAAACTGACTAAAGTGTTTTTAATTTTATTTTGTTATCACTATTGCTTGGCACAGTGTAATTTTGTGTTGTGAAGGCGGCATGATGGCATGTTATTTTTTATTAGCAGGCCTATCACTAAATCAGAAAAAAGTAAGAATTCCCCCTAAATTCACTGTTGATGGTTATTAAAATGTCGTCTGTTCATTGGGTAAAGTTGATTTTCTTCCCTTCCTAACGCAACCACAGACCACCAAGCTACCACAGCCTTCTGTGTGGAGTGGAGCTGCCATCTGTGGTGCCCGGGGGAGCGGACGGTGGGGGTTGGGGGCCTAAGGTGGGGCAGGCAGTTGTGGGCGTTTCTCCTTTCCCACCCACATTTTGATATTGTCGGTCTGGGGAGTTGAACCAGTGACCTTCTGATCACAGGCCCACCTTTTCTAGCCTCTGCGCCACCACTCCCCACAGATAATAGTGAAATACTTGAAACATAAGAAATAAGACATGATTTAGTAAAATACTTCTATACCTATTCTTTTATTTGCTCTTCCACTTATTTCATCTTGTCACTCAAAAAACTGCCTCTAATTATTTCATCCACTGATGAAATGCCAACAATCCTACAGCCTATTTAGCAAAAAAACTATTTATTTGGAGCTCCAAGCTCATAGAACAGAAGAAATGCAAATTTAAGCAGATGATGATCTCCCTCCTCCTCATTTTCTCTTCGGTTCTTGCTTCATTCAGTTTCCATCACTTAGGAACTTTCAGATATCCAAACTGAGTAAACAAACACACCTCAGCCCTTTTTTTTTTACCTGGACACAGTTGACAACACTAGAAACATTTCCTACCACGAACCAAACATTTATCATACAGGCCAAATCACAGGAGAGCTCCCCATTGATGATGACAAGCTTGTGCTGCACTTCTTCACCTTCTTCTGTTTTAGAGGCGGTGCACTCGGCTCTTCTCTGTAACATTAACAGCAGCGCTACAGACAAATGTACAGTAATAGTTTTGTTGTGCGCAACATACTCACTCACACTTTCTACCCAGCTACTGTAATACAGTGCCTTGCGAAAGTATTCGGCCCCCTTGAACTTTTCAACCTTTTGCCACATTTCAGGCTTCAAACATAAAATATATAAAATTTAAATTTTTTGTGAAGAATCAACAACAAGTGGGACACAATCGTGAAGTGGAATGAAATGTATTGGATGTGTCAAACTTGTTTAACAAATAAAAAACTGAAAATTGGGGCATGCAATATTATTCAACCCCCTTTACTTTCAGTGCAGCAAACTCACTCCAGAAGTTCAGTGAGGATCTATGAATGATCCAATGTTGTCCCAAATGACTGATGATGATAAATAGAATCCACCTGTGTGTAATCAAGTCTCTGTATAAATGCACCTGCTCTGTGAAAGTCTCAGGGGTCTGTT